ATGTGGTTAAATCCTATTTTAGTTCTGTTTTAGTTTTGTTTTAGTCCTAGTTTAGACCTGGTTTAGTCCTGGTTTAGTCCTAGAATCAGTCCTGGTTTGGTCCTGGCCATTATCCATTTTTCATTTTGGTTTTAGAGACAAATAATGAAGACATTTTTTTTTTTTTGTTTTCTTATTTTTGGTTTTACTTTGAAAAACGAACGAACGACACACGGATTATTTGACTCTTTTCTCTTTACTTGATTAACATTTTTCCTGTGCAGATGAGCAGACGTTGGCTCCTGAGCGTTTTCCTGTTGACATGTTCGCGACAAAACCAATCTCCAGAACAAACCTGGGCTCTGATCAAAGCGTCGAGCGGCGACGACACGACGCGTTTGGAACTTTACAAGAAAGAGAATATCACATGGAGTTTCCGTGTTCTCGTCTTTCGTCCTCACGTCGTTTCATAAGCGGGTAATTCATCTCTTATTCATCTGTTTTGTCTGAAGGTTTTGAATTTTGAATCGCGCTCGTCGTCCTGAACAGAAGAAGAAGAAGAAGAGCGCTCGACTCCTGCAGCGCCTGTAATTGTTATAAAGCTTTTTAAATTATGTAAACACTGCTCCCTACAAGTGGCTTTGATTTCACATAATCTTGGTGCTTCTTGCTTTAAAGTCCTCAGCAGAGAAACGTTTAAGACAGAAATAGACTAGAATAAAAGCTTTTTTTCTTTAATTTGGTTCATTTTAATCGTACTGACAAAACCTCCAGAAAGTTCCGCAGTGTTGCTTTAAAGGCAGTAAAATATTAATTTGTAATATTACTCTTTACCACTTTTGTCACTTCTACAGTTGCTTCTTTCTAATGGATTCTTATTTTCTGCTTTCTCAGTTCCGATACTGATACTTTGACTTCAGGTGCCTAGAGATACCAGCCAATACAAGCCGATACCAACTGATACCATTCGATACCACCTGATACCAGCGACTGATACAGCGAATACCAGCCGATACCTGTCGATACCAGCTGATACAGCGACTGATACCAGCCAATATCCAACCGATACCAACTAATACCAGTCGATACCAGCTGATACCAACCAATACCTGCCGATACCAGCCAATACCAGCTGACACCAGCAATTGATACCATCTTATACCAGCCAATACCAGCTGATACCAGCCAATACGACCCGATACCAGCCGATACCAGCCAGTACCAACTGATACCAACCAATACCAACTTATACCAGCCAATACCAGCAACTGATAACAGCCGATACCAGGCAATACCAACTGATACCAGCCAATAACAGCCGATACCAGCCTATACCAACTGATATCAACCAATACCAGCCAATAACAACTGATATCAGCCAATACCAGTCGATACCAGCCTATACCAACTGATATCAACCAATAATACTAGCCAGTACCAACTGATACCAGCTTATATCAGCCGATACCAGCGACTGATACCAGCCAATAACAACTGATATCAGCCAATACCAGTCGATACCAGCCTATACCAACTGACATCAACCAATAATACTAGCCAATACCAACTGATACCAGCTTATATCAGCCGATACCAGTGACTGATACCAGCTGATACCAATTGATACCAGCCAATACCAACTTTGATACTTCTTTCCTCAAGACTAATTCAGTTCTAATTTACTTTACTTTATTTATTGTTTTAAATATTAAGAGAAACTAAAACTCTGGTTAAAGTTCAAACATTATGATGAACTCTTGTCCGTAAATAGTCCAGTATCGTACTTTAGCCTTACTCCTCAACCGATACCCTGGAACCGATACCGACCCGATCCCAGCGTCGTTAGAATCGTCGTTTTTGTCGCTAGAATCCACCACCTTCAGCAGCACAAACACGTCACGGACCGAAGCGGGACTCTGGGTACTCAAAGGGTTAAAGACCTCGTGGGTTTTTTCTGGATCATCAAGAATCATGTGGTGAAGTTATGGAGAAGTAACAGTCCCTTTAACTTTTAATGGCTTCCAAACACAAAGAGAAGCAGCCGTGTTTGGGTTGGGTTATGTTGAGTTATTAGAGAGTTATCTGCTCTGAGGAGGTGCACCCCATCGAAGGAAACGGACAAAGTTCCCGACGGTTGGTCTAGAACATGGCACCGTTTGAAAAAATTGAAACCGAATCGATATATTTAGGTGAGTTTATACGTAGAGAAAAGTGGGCGATATATTGTCTTGAGTTGGTTTAGTGTTTTTGTTTAAACTTCTAAATCTAAATGTGTCATTCGCTGATTCGTTTTTCTAAATAAAACTAAAAATAAGAAAATGAAAAAACAACTCTTTTCTTCATTATTTGTCTCCAAAATTAAAATGAAAAAAAAAAAAAAAGCGGATAATGAGTCGGTTTTTTAAGTTTTCGATTTTGTGTTTAAATGAATAATGGAAAAAAAAAATGGACTGAGTCAGGACTAAACTAGGTCCTGGTCGCAGTCCTGGTCTGGTTCCGTTGTCAGTCTTGGTCTCAGTCCCGGTCTAGTCCAGGTCTGGTTCCGGTCTCAGTCCTGGTCTCAGTCCCAGTCTCAGTCCTGTTCCCGGTCTAGTCCCAGTCTCAGTCCTGGTCCCGGTCTCAGTTCCGGTCTCAGTCCCAGTCTCAGTCCTGTTCCCGGTCTAGTCCCAGTCTCAGTCCTGGTCCCGGTCTCAGTGCCGGTCTCAGTCCTGGTCACCCGACAGTCTACGCGGGCACACCTCTGAGCCCGTCCCGACACTCAGTCCTGGTTGAGTCCTGGTTCAGTCCATTTTTTTTTCATTATTCATTTAAAAACAAAATAAAAAAACTGAAAAAATGTATCTTTATCAATTTTTCATTTTAGTTTTGAAGAAAATATTTTTTTGTTTTCTTATTTTTGGTTTTATTTGGAAAAACAAATGAATGACACACGGATTTTTAAAAATAAACTTGACTTGTGTGTGTTTGTGTTTAACTCGCTAAAACTTTCTTCTTGAAGATCTAATATTTTGTTTCGACTATGATGATGACTGACAGAACTTACACTGCAAAAAACTAAATCTAGGTAAGTTAAAATTACTTAAATTATTATTTATTTGAGTCGATTCAACTTGACAAGTGAAAATATCTGCAAATGGAATAAGAGTGGTTTTCTTAATTCTTAATTTTATGTGCAAAAAGTTGTTGTTTTTCTTAGTGTAACAAGTGTAACAAGTAAAAAGTCTTGTTCCACTGGTAGATTTTTTTTTACTTTTCAGGTGAAATTTACTCAAATCATGGTAAAAATTTCAAAATTCAAATAACCTTAACATGGCTAGATTTGAGTTTTTGCAGGGCGGGATGATCTTTAAAACAAAAAAATTTAATTTGTGCCACCTACACTGGAAAAAAAACAATATCTAGGTAAGTTAAAATGATTTAAATTAAGAACTTTATTTGAGTCAATTCAACTTGACAAGTGAAATTATCCACCAATGCATAAGTGTATTTTTCTTAATTTAAGCAACATTCGATTTTGTTTCTTATTTTAAATGCAAAAACTTGTTGCTTTTCTTATCTTAAGTGCAACAAGAAGTAAAAAGTCTTGAACCGTTGGTAGATCTTTTTACTTTTCAAGTGAAATTTAACAAAATCATGATAAAAATTTCTTAATTCAAGTCAACCTAACTTGGCTAGATTTGAGTTTTTTGCAGTGTGGGATAAATTTTAAAACAAAAAGGTCAAACTTCCACCTGCACTGGAAAAAAAAACAATATCTAGGTGAGTTAAAATGACTTAAATTAAGAACATCTGACTTTATTTGAGTTGATTCAACATGGAACATTAGATTTTGTTTCTTATTTTAAGTGCAAAAACTTGTTGCTTTTCTTAAGTGTAACAAGAAGTAAAAAGTCTTGTTCCATTGGTTGATTTTTTTACTTGTCAAGTGAAATTTACCCAAATCTTGATAAAAATTTCAAAATTCAAATCATCTTAACTTGGCTAGATTTGAGTTTTTTCTGTGTGGGGTGATTTTTAAAACAAAAAATCCAAATTTGTGCCAAATTTGAACCTCAACTAAAACATTTACACTCACACTGTTAAGATGAAATAATTTAAATTAAGAACATTTTATTTTATTTGAGTAGATTCAACTTGGCAAGTAAAATTATCTACCAGTGGAATAAGATTTTTTTTTCTTAATTCAAGCAACATTCGATTTTCTTTCCTATTTTAAGTGCAAAGATTTTTTTTTTTTTTTTTCTTATCTTAAGTGTTTTCATATTTTAAGTACAAATAGTTTAGTTCCATTGGTAGATCTTTTTACTTTTCAGGTGAAATTTACCCAAATTGTGATAAAAATTTCTAAATTTAAATAAAAAAAAAAGTCAAATTTGTGTCAAACTTCCACCCGCACTGGGGAAAAAAAAAATCTAGGTAAGTTAAAATGACTTAAATGAAGAACATTTTACTTTATTTGAATCGATTCAACATCGAACATTAGATTTTGTTTATTTTAAGTGCAAAAACTTGTTGCTTTTCTTATCTTAAGTGTAACAAGAAGTAAAAAGTCTTGTTCCATTGGTAGATTTTTTTACTTGTCAAGTGAAATTTACCCAAATCTTGATAAAAAAAATCAAAATTCAAGTCAAATAAACTTGATTAGATTTAAGTTTTTTCAAATTTGTGCCAAACTTGAACCTCAACCAAGGCATTTACACCGATAGTTTAGCACTTTTCAAATACTTTGCGAAAATATAACCTGAAAATTCATATTTATAATCGTCAAACTAATAAAAAACGAAAAAAAACTTGCATGTAAATTGTGTCCGTTTATATATTTTTGGTAATATCGCCCACTTCAATCTTCGTAGTTTAGGAGTTCGAGTACAAGTAAAGAGTTTAAAGTACTGGGAACTCGAAACTTTAGCTGATTTGGTCATAAATTTGTAAAAGAGTTGAATGTTGGAAGTGCACCTCCGGCAGAGTGGTTAGCGCAGGTTAGGCGGTTAGATCATTAGTGAGTTAAAGGTTTTTTTTACCTTTGTCGAGTAGCCATTCGTCAACTACCCGACCGAGACGGTATGGGATTCTTTGTCTAGCAATAGCCAGGCGATCATTATCAAAGTTCCCTTTAAGAAATTTGGAGAGAGATTAAGAGAGGTTACACATCTGGAAGTTGAAAGGTTAAAGGTTAAAAAGGGCAAAATTAGGCACATTTAGCAGGTTATGTTCATTCAGCGTTAGTTAAAGGAAGAACTTGCAGATAAGATGTTTAGTCTGGTGGGTTAGTCAGACTAGTTACCTTGAGTTTAAATGATTTTAGTAGGCTTTCGTTAAACAGCTTTATGAAAGATTTAAGTCAGGATTAACATCGGTTTTGGCAGAACACAGGCATTAGCATCATGAGGTAAATGAATAAGACATCGAAACAGCAAAAGCGTTAACACAATTAGCAGAAAAAACAAGAGTGCGAGTTCAAGATCAAGCAGGTTACCAATCGTGACATTTTAAAAGACATTCAGAGAAAAGCAGGTTGTTCGAAGGAAGACACTTGGCTGGTTGGACACGTATTTTGGTATTTAAGCAGCAAACTTTGGTCTGTAATGATAACAGATTTTCCTGGACAATTAATTGACCGAGAAATGATTGCGATAAACGATAATATTGACATTTTGAGACCATTTTCAACTAGAATAAAAATGCAAATACGCCCTTTCAAAGATGAGTAAACTTTACTTTCTAAAGAACATTTAACACAGGAACTGCAAGACAAACAAAAACAACAGGCCTAAAGAAAACAGATTTGTTAACATAAGAATAATCTAGTGCAGATGGGCCCGGTCAAGCAGAAGTAAACAACAAGGCCAAAAATACAAGTTAATTCATCTGATATAAAAATGTATTGAACAGATACATATGTACTCTAGTTTATGAAACTGTTGACCTTTTTTCTGTACCATTTTTGGTTCTAAAGTTCCATCCGTTTTAAACAGACCATGTATGAAACATGGAACAAAAATTATTTCCCAAATTTCAAAGACCTGAAAATCATGTAAATAAATGGATGTATTTCATCATATCTTGTGTTATTCCATCTTTGAACTGTTGATGAAGGTACAGGATTAAAAAATATGTATATATATTTTATAATGATAAAAATTTGCATTGGAAGGACTGACATATTTTATAGAAATAGTTTCCTTTCATTTTGAAGTAATATTAAATTATTCAGAAGAAAAAAGCAACAAATTATGTAAAATCCTGCACCTTCTACTTGTTTGCACAATTTTCCCTCCGTTACCATGACCTTTCTTCATAAAAAATCTCATGAGTCAAAAAGTAAGAGGTTTTTCAACCTAATCTTGTACCATATGGTAGAAAACTATATGAAGCAAATATTCAAACCAGTTTGTTAAGGATATGTAAGTGAGAACCAAGAGTTATCACTGTTTGGATTTATTGCCCAAAAAGTGCTGCATATTTCATTCCCTCCGTTACCGACATGAGTTTTTAAATTTTTTGTCAACAACTTGAAAGAATATCACAGGTTTAACTTGACCCTGTTGGAGTGTAACTCTTTCCTACATTCTGATACTTTACTTATTTCAATAGTCCCTCTAGTTTCTGAATAAGAGACATTTGAATGTCAAAAATCTGCCCGTTTCCCTCCGTTACCACTTGACTGAACCCTGCTGTCTTCAGAATGTCATTTAAGTGCTGTGTTTGTGTTCAGCTTTGAGCGCAGCTTTGTTTTATTAATGTTCATTACTGAGAAAACCTGCTCACAAAGGTAGTAACTGTAAATCTATTATTTCTAGTTGTAGACATTATGACTGTGAAAAGTGTGTGAAAAAATGCAAATTCTGTCTTCAGGTTTTAAGATATAATTCAAATATTTTAGTAGCGAATGAGCCAAGGGCCAGATTAAAGGTCTTGGAGGGCCGGATCTGGCCCCCGGGCCGTATGTTTGACACCCCCGGTCTAACGTAATCTGGCTCACAGCAAGGACTTGTTAACAAAAAATGCACTTGAATAAACTGAAATTGTTGAACCAAACACAACCGAAACGATAAATAAAATGGGTTATTAAATCTCTTTAATAAAATTCTACAATGTTTTCTACAAATCCCATGATATTTTTTTACTCTTATGAGGTGGATTACCAAAAAAACCTCCATCCATCTGCTCCTGATCCGACCCTTTTGTCAAATTTTGGAAACCCACGAGTCAAAAAGTTGGCCCACCCCTGGTCTACGTTGGTTCAGAAGACGAGAAAACAAAGACGAGGAGTCAGAGCGATAGAAACCTTTTGTCATTCAGACTCTTTGATAGAGAAAAACAAACGAGGATACAAATAGAAATGATCGCGACTGGAAAAGTCATCGAGCTCGTTAAAAGTTACCGTACGATTAATTGATTTATTGACAATCTTTACGGGCCTAAGCAAACTTCTCTTACCCGTGTTAGAAACTCCAATAACTTTCTAAAACACCTCAAAAGTCTACGCAAAGAAATACAATCAAATAAAAGTGTAACCTCACACAACAAGATGGATTGTCATGGTATCAAACTCATAAAAATCCGTCCAGGCGTGAGTCCGCTGGTGCGACGGGCCCGACAGGCGGTGGGCGACCGATCACGTCGCAGCAGCGTTGAGGTTTGCGCGGAAGCCAAAGGCGAAGCAAAACGAACGTGGAGACGCCAAGATGAACTTCAGTCTGTTCGAGCGTCAGTACAGACTGTTTAGTTTGTTAAAGAACTTGTGGAAGGTAAGTGCTTTGTGCATTTGTGGACAGGGAAGGTGTCGGTGCTTTTTTATCCAAACTGGATTTAACAAAGTTTGAAAAGTTTGATTTTTCAGATTGCTCCACCGTTGTGCTGCGCTTCAACCAATCAGATATAAATATTCGTCGTGATGTTCAGTGTTTTCCGATCACTTTCAGCGAGAGACGTTCAGATTATTAAAGTGTAGAACTGAATTCAGATTGACAAACAAACAGAATCAATCTGTCCTGAGTCTGGTTTATAAAATTGACTCACGAGAAAAAAAGAAGGGAAATTTTGTCACCATATTCAGAAATTTTTCATTCTTATATTTATTTCAGATTTACCCAGTACAGATGCAGATACACACTGTACAGTACAAGAATGAGAGCGAAATAATATGAATTAATTCACTCACGATGGAATTAATTTTTAAGAAACAGTCAATATGATCAGATCTGCTGCTAATTTAAAGAGAAATACAAACATTTACAATGAAATATGTTATTCTCTAAGTAAGCCAGAAAGGACTACACTAAAGAAAAGTTTTAGAACACCGACATTTTTCCAGTTATTTATTGATTGATTTCTTGGAATCTGTACATTTATTGATTGATTGATTTATTGGAATCTGTAAATATATTGATTTATTTATTTCTTGGAATCTGTACATATTGATTGATTGTTTTCTTGGTTTGTTGACTTTTATGAATTGATTGATTGATTTCTTGAATTTTGTACATTTATTGATTTATTTATTTCTTGGAATCTGTACATTTATTGATTGATTTATTTCTTGGAATCTGTACATTTATTGATTGATTTATTTCTTGGAATCTGTAAATATATTGATTGATTTATTTATTGGAATCTGTAAATATATTGATTTATTTATTTATTTCTTGGAATCTGTACATTTATTGATTGATTGATTTATTTATTGGAATCTGTACATTTATTGATTTATTTATTTCTTGTATTGTTGACTTTTATTGATTTATTGAATTTTGTACATTTATTAATTGATTGTTTTCTTGGTTTGTTGACTTTTATTGCTTGATTTCTTGTATTTTAGACTTTTATTGATTGATTTATTTCTTGATTGATGAACTTTTATAAATTGATTGATTGATTTCTTGAATTTTGTACATTTATTGATTGATTTATGTCTTGGTTTGTTGACTTTTATTGATTTTATTCTTGTATTTTAGACTTTTATTGCTTGATTTATTTCTTTATTGTTGAACTTTTATTGTTTTATTTCTTAGATTGTAGACTTTTATTGATTTCTCGGTCCTCACACACGGACTTGGACTTAAAAACTTTCTTGAAACTTGCAAAAATGTAAATAATCGTGTACATATAAATAAAATATGTCTTTAAAGATTAACTCTGCTTTTGTGTGTCGTCGTCATTTAACTTTACAAAACTTAGAAAAGACTTGTTCTGAATCAGGGATCGCACCTGAACGCCAAAGAAAAGTGATAAAATCTTGCTTCACGACGAGTTTACGCCTGAGCAAAGTGAAAAGAGTCACACTTTTTACGTTACAAGTCTTGGGAACATTTTGAGCTCAACATCAGTTTAACGAATCTGTGCAAAGAATAAGTTGAATTTTAATGAAGCGTTGTCTATTTGCCCCTTTCAAACACACTCCCCTCCCTTTAGTACCTGTGCTAAGTCACTCCCCCTTCAGATCAACATCACAACACAATTAAAACACGTCCCACTGATTAAACTACTGCACATTGCATCAGGTTTGTGAAGGCGTATTTTGCAAAATGCTTTAGTTTTCATGAAAATTGTCACGTGGGACTGAGGAGCGTTGGATAAAGGACTAAGTATTCTAAAATGAAGTAAAGGTACAGATACTGGAGCATAAAAATACTAATATGAAAGTAAAAGTATCACATGAAAATATCTACTCAAGTAAAAGTATTAAAGTACATGTTTAAAAATGTACTTAAAGAGTAAAACGTTAAAGTATTTTGCGCAGATTTGCAGGGTTCCTACAGGTTTCGTCAAGTTTAATCCAAGTCTTTTTAAGTCCTTTTTAAGACCATTTATATAATTTTTGATTATGATTTGAACTGAATTTTCTTCAACAATAACAACAACAACAACAGACTATGAAGGTGTTTAAAATAAACCTTGAAATAAATTCTTTTCACAGGTCTCAAACAATAGCGAAAAATTGAAAAAAACAAACAAAACGAAACTAAAATGTGGCTGTTTGCTGCTCTTGGAAAAAGGATCAAAAGTTTAAACACAAAGGAATCCAGGCACACGAAGAAATAAAGGAAAAATATAGTTAAAAAACCTTTATTTAGATTAGGTTAGGTTTGGTTCGGTTGCTTTATTCGTA